TATATATATATATATATATATATATTATCAGCCTGGCGAGTAAACTAAAAAATTTACTAGCCAATGGCGATTCAATTGCCAAGGTGTCCGTAGAGGGCTGGGTGAGTAACTTTGATTTTGCTTCGTTTCACACAACTTATCCGTGTTGGCTTTTGTTTGAATAGGCTATGCTTGTGTGTCATCTTCACTTGTTTCGCGATCTTCGTTGCCATGGTTGTGTACCTACGTGTGGGGCGGAGATTTCAAAATAAGGGTGAGGTCCTGTTGGGGTATGGGCGTGTTTGTTTTGGTGCTTTCAAATATCAACATCGTTTGGCAAAAATCGCTTAGTGCACCTTTAAATATTGAGTGATTTACATGAGTGATTATACTGCCACTATCACTTTGTCTATTTTGCTCCGCTAACATAAATAGAACAAAGCCACAACAGAATGAACGGTTTCTCCAACACACACGGTGTTTATTTCCAGAATGACTCAGTGTTTCTGAACGAATCGGTAGAATGAATGATTCAGTGACTCGCACATAAAGAGTCACTTGTTTCATTCCTGAATGAAGCAGTGTTTTGAACGAATCAGTTGAATGAATAATTCATTTAATGATTTTCTCATAAAGTCACTTACTTGTATGTCTGGACCTACGATATAACTGGCAGAAAAATACCCACAAGTAATGAACAGACTGTCTGGAACACACAAACATAGACATGCTAAGTGATATAAACAATGAAAACTCCCAGTGCTGTTGGATTCTATCAACACTCTTGAAACGCTGCTCAACCAATCATATTTGAGAATTAGAACTACCTACTGAATAATAATACATATACTGTATTGTTTAAGTTTGAGTCTCAAAAATGGGAAACCTCATGGTGTTCAATTTGGAACAACAAATAACTTGTTTTTATAGAGGCTTGTTGGCCTCCAAAGTACAGTACATAATAATACTACTGACTTATATTCCAGCCAGAGGGCAGTTGGCCAACCACAATTCTGTAAGGACAGGATATTGGGTCAGACACTTCAACTCTCATCCAGCTTGCAGGAGAAAACAGAGCTCTCTGTGATGCTAAAACGAACCACATGAACCAAACTCACTCTTTGACTTTAGAAAAGGGCATGACAATAGACAAAGAGCAAACCTCAGACAAGAATGTAATTTTGACTAACCTAAATGATAGTGTGGACAGCTTTAGTCACTGCATCAGATTTGGCTAAATGCTGATGTTGTTTATGCATTGCTGTCATTAATGATTTTGGCCCTGCTTGTTTACAAATCATCTGTCATGGCACATCAGCCTCTGCTACGATCATGGCAATTGAGGTCTGTCTGAAATGAATCATGGGTGACATCAAAAAAGCAGCACTGTAAGTCAGAACAGCAGCTGATGCTTGACGAATTCGAATTCAGTTCAAGCAAGGCCTCCATCCCAGCTGGGGGCTGGAAACCTCACTCTTGTACATTCTTTGGTCATCCACAATGATTCGTGATCTATCCTTATTCTGACAATAATCACATGCTCTCTGCCAGTAACCTTTTCTCTCTCTCTCTAATTGCCTTCTCTTAAAGGTTTTTCATGATTTTTGAAGGAGAGTGTGTGGTGAAACTGCAAAGTCACTCTCAAGGACCCATCAAATGCCCACATATTCCCCCAGCCAAGACAAAAAGCCTTTAGAAATGATTTTTGAAGGAGATGATATAAGCAAACTTGTAAAGCCCATATTATATGGTGGATTTTTCATTATTTGTTTGCATACTTAAAGCCCAGTTCCAGTGGCATAATGGACAAGGATTGTGGGTTGGAATCTCACCTGGTTGATGAGCAATACTTACCATTCCAACAATATTCATGCAGTGCAGTCTGTCAAACTTCCTGTACCCATGAGTCATCTACTAATTGTACAACTGTACACCATAATGAATTTCAGATGTAGTATCTTCAGTATTTACTCTATAATTCATAAATTCACTGTATATAAATCTCGATTATCAACTGGTTTTTTTTCAATGACCTTCGAGTGACGCATTTGTCTCGTGCAACATTTGTTAGCTAACGTCAACTATTCTGAAGACGTTTTAAATAAAATAATTAAGTTTTTTAAAATCTATTTAATAGTAATTAAATAATAAAATATTCTTTGTTATATTTTGTTTTACAACGAAGTGCATTGTGAGTCCATTGGGACACTGAACTTGGCATTTCACGCAGGGCAAAATGTCGCTCCTCAAGCTTCCTGGGAGGAATTAAATAGATTTGGTTACATATCATTTTCAGCCATGGAAAGAAAATAAATCATACATTTACTGGAATATCGATATGAAAACAAAGAACGACGAACACTTAAATAAAACAACCCAAATGAAAAACTGCGTTTTAAATAGAGTTCGAAATGGTCAGCATGCTGTTGTGCCACAGGAGCGCTAAATGTCAATTTCTGTTTATACACGAGTATGACATGCTAGTTGTAATTTGAAAAGCACTGGAGTACAGTTTTTGGGTAAAGTCAAGCTTGAAAGTAGAATATGATAGACGATGACATCCTCTCCATTCCTCCATCCAAATCCGCACAACGTGGACGACGTTTTAAAAGACTGCTCTCAAACATTACCATAGTAACCATCATATTCCGGGCAAATTCATAACGTTTGTTCCACCAAAGATATTCAGAAAAGTGTGCCAAACAACTCTGGTCCCCTCAAAATAGCATTTTTGCCAAAGCTGTATTTGTACAAGATGAAAATCAGAATGTGCAAGACATTGAATGTTCCAAGTTCAAATGGACTTAAGACATTTACTATGGTAATCACAGTTTCTCCCAACAGTGCGTACCATTTAGATACAATAGGCCTAATTGTTGCTAAAACTGTTAATTATTGCCATACAATAGTACAAAATTAAATCCAAATTTCAGCTATACTGACTTAATGTGGCAAAATGTCATTATTATATGAGATGCAAAAGTCATCCTATATGTCCCAGTTCAAAAAGTCAAAAGCTTTATATTCCTCATAACAGTCTCAATTAAATGCTGTTGGAAAACTAAACGACTCTTACCACACTTATAATGAGCGGTCTATAAAAGTATATAGAGTAAAGGATTTGGCAGCTTGTATGTGATTTGCCTGACCTCTCTGAATCCCTCCATACAGCAACCCCAGTATTCTTGGGTGGCTGTCCCCTACCTTTGCTCCCCTCACGATGTAATCTTATATCATTCACACCACTCTGCCTCCATCCAAGTACAGGCCATGGTCCAGACTCCAATTAGTGGTCACACTAACAGGCGGAGATGATGCCTGCCCCTCAAATTACCCACAGCAGCATGTTTAAAGACTGCAAGGGGGGTATTGCTGCTGGCACACCGTGGGCTGATACCCAGGAGTCAGGCAGCTCTGCTTTAATTAAAGGGTGCATTTGCATTTGTTTCTGCTGCTTGTGTTTCAGAAATTTATTTCAAATGGCAATGCCACCCAGTATTATGACCCGAGTGTATTCAGGTATGACGGCGGGACGGCATTGATGGACTATATGCAGAGCTCCAGGAGGGAAGCAGGACTGTAATCTTCAAAAACGTCTGCGGCTCAACTTTTTTATTTGTATGATAGAATCAGTGTGCCATAACCCCAACAAACACTGTATAGATCCTGCCCTTTTAATTCTTATGTGCAATGGTAAAAGGGTTTCTCAAATGGAAACTGCAGGGAGTTTGAGAGTTGATGAAATGGATAATTAATTAAATCCAGTGTAAAAAAAAAAAATGGGGATGCACAATTAATATTAATCAGCTTTTGCATACATATTTGTTTGCATAATTCACAGTATTTTTGAGTATATAAGTTTGAAGCATTCCATTAGTATTCTGCCAAAGTAAAAGCTTGAAATATTAAGACATAAATATTAGTATTGTAACTTGTATTTTTAAAAAAGTAAATTATGTAATTTTTTTTTATTTGACAGTACAATTGTAATTTACAACAGTACTAACTTTTACTTTTTCTTTTTATAGAGCTAAAATAATAATCAGAATCAGCAATAATTATGCATATTAATATTAATGTGCTGTTAAATTATTAACTTAAAATTTTTTGTATAAGGGACATGGCTGACAGAAATATTTATCAAATATTCATTTTTTTTATTTAACAGTACAATTGTAATTTACAACAGTAATAAATGTCAGTCTTCCTTTTTATGATTAGAGTTAAATTAATAATAATCATAATAATGAATAATAATAATTAATGGGCACTGTTTATTTTTAATTACATAAGTTGGATGTCAAACATGATGTATAACAATGGCCAAAATGAAGTTCTTTTTCTACTTTGTGAATTTCCAAAATCCACTGCAGGGCCACGAAGCTCCTTAACATGACTCCCTCTAGTGGATAAAAATGTAACTGCCATGTAACAGCTACAGGTCAAAGCGACAAAGTATTAATGTGGCCGACTAGCTAGTTTTCTCTAGGCAAAGCAGTAAACAGCTTAAAAATGGTTGTGTCAATAAATTAAGCCGTGAAGATTTCTTTGTTCTGGTCCATAGAATGTAAATGCAGAACCAGTGGCAACAGGAAATGGAATGACACCATCCCCAAAACTTTCAGTTTTAATAAAAAAGTGACAACTCTCTTACAAGTATCACGTGTACCACTTCAAAACAGTACAGGCATAACCGCCTGAACAAGCTTTACTGCAAACATATTTGTGCTATTCCAACTTTACAGCAAGACACTTTGCATAAAAGCATCTGCAAAACTTTCAAGAATGGCCAGTTTCTGTAATGTATTCAAAAGGCACTTTACAATGTTAGCATACAGACTAGAAGTGTTTTTCATTTCCATTGGAATCCTCAAAAAGGTTTGGTAAATTTTCAGCAGAGCAACTTCCTCTTGAATGTGTTGTATTATTGTTGTCCTGTTCGAGTTGTCACTCCATGTGACAGACCTGAGTTCATATTTTAAAACGTCACACAAAGAGCCTGTTGACAGTGTAAGAACAATGCTGAAACTCGCATCTCCGAAGTGCTGAGACAAGCACTCGTGACCACAGCGCAGCAAATTTTCTTCTCTTCCTTGTTCCTGGTTAGTTACAAAAGGAAACACAGTGTTTCCTCTGCAGTGCGGCCCAGTCTTTCACAGAATGTTGAGTTTTTTCACGTTTTTAACACACCTGTCAGTTCAGTATACCATTGATCTCACGGCTGTTCGTCTCATCGTCATGTGTACCCATCAGCCCACTGATGACCGCGAGACCTGAGGAGGCAGTAATGGATTTGTAATAGGAATACAAGGAAATTAAAGGGTACCCTTTAAGCACATAAGGAAATAATGTGAATAAGTATATTTACAGATAAAAAGCTTAGATAAATGCTACAATTAAGCATACATTGTTATTGTAAAATGCCAGCCAACATTGAGAAAGAAAAGAAAAAGGTTTCACAAAATGTATTTTAACATGCTAAATTAACATAATATGTTAAACAAATTCATTTTTAAAATTGGTGCTTTAGATTGAGATTTACTGTGAGAAAAAATTTAATTCAAAATGTTTTACTGCATAATGTTACTCTAAAAATAGAACATTTTTCAGGTATTTTTAAATTATTTGCTTTGGCTTTTTCCCATTATTTTATTTTGAAAAAAAAAAAAAGTTGCCTTTACATTATCATGCTGTCTTTATATGGTTCATATGGTCTCTCTCATTAAAAAAAAAAACTGAACATGAGGACTGTCCGTTTAAATAGTAATTACAATTTAATACGAGCACCATAATGTAGTACCATAGTATTTATCAAAGAACCATTAAAATGGAAATACATTTGTTTTTTTAAATTCAGCCCACAGAATTTCCCTTTCACCCATGTATGGTTTCCTCTGGAAATCTAGTTCCCCTTTTAATGTAGAACAAACATCAGCAGCTGTCATCAAATTTGTGTTACCAAGCCATCGTATCCACCATTTCAGGCTGGGAAAGATTTTAGTGCTTTAACAACAATGTCTTTTTTAAAGGTTTCAAAAATTTCCTGGACTCACGTCGGCGAATTGCGATGGGCCAGATGAGAAGGGTAGAGAGACAGAGAGCAGCAACGCCAGCCACACCGCCGGTGACAATCACCATGACAGTGCGGAAAAACCATTTGCAGTCAGAGTCCAGTGTGCTGTAAATAAAGCGCAAAATAATCAGAGTAATCTATATAAAACATGAGACAACGAAGAGTTACACTTCCACAGACTATTAACACACTACTGAATACACATAGGTCAACTGTAACACACACATTACAACAACCAGTGAATATCTGTCCTAAAATGAGACCAGTAGATAATCATAGCCACTGTGCATTTAAGATTGTATTTGCAGAGAAGCAGGGTATTTAAAGAATCTACATTCCCAGCCACTACGGTCAGGAGCCTGGAATTGGAATGGAAATGTAATTAAAGGGGAATGGAGATGCTGGATTGTACTCACTGACAGGGATGTAAAGCCTGTATTATCATCACTCCAATTCCATTTGCCACCTTATCAGTGAAGCTCATTGCACCGTACACAAAAGCACCACTTTGCTGTTAAAAGAAAGATTTTCATTAGCATTATTGAAAAGTAGTTCTGAAGTGGTTCCTTTAGGGCTCCAGACAGAAGAAAAAAAGTATCATATATATATATATATATATATATATATATATATATATATATATCGTGTTTCTTATATATATATATATATATATATATATATATATATATATATCATGCTTCTAAAATGACACATTTTGCTTAAAGCCAAATCAACCTTAAAAGAATAAATGTACAAGTCCTCTATCAATAATATTGCTTTTTCCAGAAAAAGTCATCTTGTCTGAATCAGGAGAGAAATATGCACATATAAAGCACGGTTTATAAGTGAAAACGTCCTAAACATTTAATGGTGGATTTGTATCTCGCAAGCATGCAGCTTTTCACTTCACAATAAGATGTTAATTGATGGACTGTAGTTATGTAGATTACTTGTGGATCATTGTGATGTTTTTATCAGCTGTTTGAACTCTCAAACTGACGGCACCCATTCACTGCAGTGGCTCCATTGGTGAACAAGTGATGTAATGCTAAATTTTTAAAATCATTTTTGGGGGAACTATTCCTTTAAAAAGAGTTCATAAGGGTCATTTGTTGGCTAAATGGGCATTAGTGTGTGTGCTGTGCTCATTGCTGCAAAGAAACGCTGGGGAACATTGTGTTCGGTAAAGAGATAATATCTGACGAAACCACATGTGGACAAACACAAAGTTTGTCTGACTGATTTTAGATTTTAAATTACGGTCAGAAATGTTTTTGTCATTTTTGCAACCATTTTCATCGCAGTTTGGGAGCCCTGCATATTTTATTTGAAGTCCATTTGCTCAGGAACTGAATGAGCACATTTTAAAGCTCAGAACGAATTAACAAGACTGAACTACCAAGCTGATAACCAACCAATGACTTGCATTAATTGCATCTGATGTGTGCAAAGCCCCTCAAAAATAGGTTTATAACTTATCACTTGATATCATCACATACTCTTTGATCGCCGATGAGTTTGGCAGTCATGGACAGTGACATGACCAGAATGACAGCAGATCCAGCTCCCAGCAGCACGGCGGCTCCATAAACCCGTGTACCCATGTTTGTGTCCACCAAAACCCAAAAGGAAAACACCATTATGGGCACAAGGCCTACAAAATAGGCCATCTGCAAAGGCAGAAATGAAATATGAGGTATTTTGAGTCACAGTATGTTGAAGCAGTGAGTGAAACTGTGAAAACCTACAGAGGTGCCGATCCATTTGTTAACAGGCTTCATAACCAGAGAAGACACAAACCCACTGACGTACATGACCAGGGGAACAGCTGCAATGTAGTTCTGCAAAAAAGAGAGGATTTTCTGCTCAGTTTTACATCTGCTTTATTGTGCCAGTTCAATGCTGGCCAAACCAGCTTCACTGTACACATGTGGTATTGTAATTAAAAGTACAAATACACTATGTTAATATTAGTTTCTTTGTCTAAGCAATGAAAGTCAATGCGCTCCATTGTTCCATTGGATCCGTTTGGCGTTCATTGCATGATCAAAAACATCTTTTGTGTTCCACAGTTTTTTAGTGCTATTTACATACCGTTATAGTGTTTATTCATATTTTAAAATGACATTTTTTAGATATTTAGTTTTCATTTTAGTTTAAGTTTTTATAATTTTGTTATATGCTTTTGTCATTTTTATTAGGGTTGAGAGATTTATTAATAGTTTTAGAGTAAATGACGATTAGAAATGTTTCTTTTTAGGTGAACTATCCCTTTAATATTCTCATGGTTACTGGATTTTCATGATCCACCCAAAAAAAACTTTGGTTGGATTTTGTATTGGTAAGTGTCATGTTTCTCACCTTTGGAAGTGATAAGGAGTTTGTCAGATACATTGGGATGTATGTTTGGGACAAATTTACAATCAGTCTTGTGCACATATATTGTACTGCTACCTGGAGTAGGAAAAAAATATATACCTTTATTGTTTTTCAACAGCATACTGTGAAATATTTCATAATTAGATGGATTTTTACTTGTTTGTAGTGTACATAAATAAAGCTTTTTGTGTGTGTGTGTGTGTGTGTGTGTTGATCAGATCTCCATGAGATCACCTGATAGAAGGCAGGCTCAATGAGCCAGTGTTTCCACAGTAGTAGGGGTCCGGAGATCTGGGAAGAGCCGGGGATTGAAGGCTGAGATTTCCCAGTCTCTTCACCCTCCTGAGGCTGGACTCCTTCTTCCTTAGTGCCCAGGTGAAAGATGACGGAGGTAACAGTACCGATGGCCCATATTATGAGTGCCAGATACTGTCACAACAAAGATAAAGCAGATTTTACAAATAAATTAAATAGTAGATTATATTTCGAAGAATGTTGGTAACCAAACAGTTTCCGTTCCTATTGATTTCCATTGTATTTTTTGTCCATACAATGGAAATTAATTGGGAACGGAAACTGGTTACCAAAATTCTTCAAAATATCTTCTTTTATTATTTTCAAAAGAAGAAAGAAAGTCATACAGGTTTGGAAAGACGAGAATTTTTATTTTGGGGTGGAAAATCTCTTTAACTCTGATTGTCTGTTTTCAGCTTGATAGACATTATAAGTATTAAATCTGTCGAACTGATCTCTAAATTGGGTGTATATTTGCATTTACTCACTCTGAATGTGGGAACATCAACCCAGCCCAGACTCTGGGAAATCGATGGGTCTTCTGTATGTTGGGATTGGAAGTGGAACAAGATCCACGCCACAGCATATACCGCAATGTTTGCCACCACTGTAAAAGCATACCTGTTAAGGAAAGCAAACAATTTTATGTATATCAATAACAAAGTTAAATAAGGCCACAAAATGACTTCCATGAAAGCCAAAGTTTAATTTAAAGTCACATTGAAATGTACATTAGTGGTTATTCTTCCGTATTCTGACATAGATTTAAGTGTAGCAGATTATTGCAAAAGAAAAATGTAGGCAGGAACTTGGTTCTAACTATCGGTTGTTGATTGGATGGGTGCAGACCATAAGAAGAATAAAACAATAAGATAACATGAATTTAAAAAAATAGCTAGGGTGATTTTTCATTGCATTCTAACTTTAAAATGAGAAAACCATTTTATAGCTTTTTTCCTGTTATATTTCCAAGACAAAATGTTGCTAATAGTGTCACTGACCTTAAGACCTTAAAGTTTGGCAACATTGTTGCTCTACATTGGTTGTTTGACTTGAGGAGGTAGTGATACTGTACCTATATGATGTTAGTTCCACTTTGGCGTGCTCACATGTGACCAGTTCAGGAATGAGCGACAGATGGGATATCTGAGTAGCAGCCCAGCCGAATTGGAAGATAATGATGAATGGGATGGCGTAAATCAGTCCTGCGGTCTGTGGGGTTTTCTCATCACATCCAATGCAGGGATTGAATATGAAGGGAAAGGAGGCAAACACGCTTATTGTTCCTGGGAGGAAATGGACAGTAAACTGAACAGTTAGTGCTGTGTAATGATGACACTCGGGAAGTGACATCATTTGGACCTTTTCTGCAGCATGACTTTGGTTGGTTGCATTTGTAGTGCCTGTTACCCAAATTATTGTGAGAAAAACAAAGATACAAAACAAATACCTTTCTTTCATTTATGGTAAATATATTTCATAAATATTGTAACTGGTAAAGTATTTATAACTATAACCCAACCCTTTGTTCCAGTGGTGCTACTAAGTGACAGCTTAAGGCTAAATTTGCAAACCTGTTTCCCATTCTTACATTTTTATAATTTTTTACAGTTTTGTCAGCTTCAAATATTTGCCTATTGATGTATAACGCCAAACACACGAACCACGTACAAAATGTATAGAAAACAAAATTTAGCTTGAGTTTCTGCAATTTACGATCAATTCATTGGGGAAACACTTCCGTTTTTAAGTTTCAAAGCTTTATTTTGTAGCCTATTCGTGGAAAGTGCATCTGACAGTCCCCGGACTACAGCTGACGAGCTTCCGTCTAATTTCCCCGTTTGCTTTGAATATGAATCATCCATCTGCACTTAATTCTTTAGCGGTAGTTTGCAGGGATTTTTTTATGGGGTTTCGGCGGAATACCCCTACTACAGATTATTGTAAAGCACCATGGCAACTTGCTTTTATTTTTTAACAGTAATCCTATGGAGTTTATCCTATGGAAGTAAAAATTCAAGAAATATATCAGACAAAAATCAGAACACGCGCTCCTCCACACACCGATCGAAACAGTCCATTTATTGTAGTTACAAACACAGCTGCAAGTTTGAACTCACACTCTTACCCACTAAATGCCAGGTCTTTCTTTTCCCATACTTCCCACATCCTGACGTCCGATCGGACTCGTAACCGATGAGCGGAGTGCAGATCCCGTCCGCGAGCTGACCGACCAGCAGCAGCGCACCTGCGTTCGTATCCCTGAAACCGAGAACCGAGTGATAATACACCAGTAAATACGTGAACCACATAGACGCGCAGAGGTCGTTGAAGAAATGTCCCACGGCGTACGTCAGGCGCCTGCACACGGGTAAAGTTAGCGGCTGATCGGACATCGTGAATGAAGGAAACGGTCAAGAAAGAGCGACTGTCTTAAGCGCAGCTACCAATGAGTCAAACGACTGAACAGAACTGAACCCTGAATCCCACTGAAAAGGATCAGAATGATGCTTTAGTTTTGAAGTAAAAGTGAAATGGCCACTGATTGTTTGCATCCAGCAGTGCCCGTTTTCGGTTTTAATTCTCCATCTCACACCTACGCTATCCAGGGAAAGGGGATGTTACTATGACATGATTTTAATAGACAGCACATGCCCTCTTTTAAAAAAGGACAGGAAAATCTACCAACGTCAACTTTGACTCTGTAAACGAAAACAGCACATTATCAGAACTTACATTTAAAGGTAAGTTCTGGAAGCAACCAAAACTTAGCTACACACAAAAAAAGAAGTTAACATATATAATCAAGTGCAAAAATAAATAAATAAAAGCAATAAACATAAATAATTCAACCAATTTAAATATTTCTAATATATTAACCCATAGGTGGTTGCTTGAGCATTGCTAGGCGCGCTTGTTGAGTCAAGTTTTGGCATAAGAAGCGGAGGAATAAGCAATCAAACAGCACAAATATGTTTTAGTAAAACAAAATCAATTTGTGTTCTGCGTGTAACCAATAAAAGCTGATAAAGTAAAAACCTTTAGAACTTAATAAGTAATATGATTATTATTTTACAATGGACATCTACAGCTTCAAATGTTTTTCCTAGTTTGAAACAGACGGTGTTAGTGTTCCTAAAATACAAATGCAGAATCTACCAGTTACTAAAATAAAAATGCAGAATCTATTAACCCTAATGTGTTAATAAATGACTAAACCAATCGCCTGATAACTATTCTTTTTTTAAACCTCACAAGATCTGATGCACACAGATGACTCTGAACATACGGTCATATGACATGTGACAATACCCCAGACACTTGGCCATACGACATTCATCATAAAGTAATGATTATGTCACATCTAGCATTTAAAATACACCAAGTACTAAATGGGTCTAATACGAATGACCAGCAGGTAAATTAATGAGTCAGCAGCTTATGAATTGCAATTTAATCCTAATTAAATCCCATTAACTTTTAATTAAATCTTAATTACTTTTGCTTTATACACACACACACACTATATGGACAAAGGTATTTGGGACACACCTCATAATTATAAAATGTATGCGTTTCAATCAGATCCACTGCCACAGGTATGTAAAATTAAGCATGTAGCCTTGCAGTCTGCATTTACAAATATTTGTAAAAGAAATGTGCTGTTCTGAAGAGCTCATCTGTGCTAGATATCTCACGGTCAAATGTAAGTGGTATTATTGGAAAGCAGAAGTGTTTAAGAACAGCAGCAACTCAGCTACGAAGCATGAGACCATGTTAAGTCACTGAGTGGGGTCATTGAGTGCTGAGGCACGTGGTGTGTAAAAGTCGCCAACGCTTTGCTGACTCCATAGCTGCAGTTACAAACTTCCACTGGCATTAAAATCAGCACAGAAACCCTGTAGAGGAGGCTTTATGGAATGGGTTTCCATGGCCGAGCAGCTGCTTGCAAGCCTCACATCAAGTACAATAGCAAGCATCGAGTGGTGTAAAGCACGCTGCAACTGGACACCGGAGCAGTGGAAACTCACTTTTCTGTTTGGCAGTCTGGTGGGCCTTCCTAACTGCATTGTGCCAACTGTTAAGTTTAGTGGAGGAGGGATACTGTTATGGGGCTTTTTTTCAGTGGTCGGACTATGCCTCTTACTTTAGTGAAGGTAAATCTTAATGCTTTAGCATACCAAGACATTTTTGAACAATGCTTTGCTTCCAACTTTGTGGGAACAGTTTGGTGAACACCCTTTTCCATTCCAGCATGACTGTGCCCTAAAGCAATGCAAGATCCATAAAGACATGGTTGGATAAGTTTGGCGTGGAAGAAATTGATTGGCCCACACAGAGCCCTGACCTAAACCCCATCCAACACATTTGGGAATGGAGATTGCAAGCCAGGCCTTCTCGTCCAACATAAGTGCCTGACCCCCACAAATGCTCTACTGGATGAACGGGCAAAAATTTGCACCAAACTCCATATAATTGTCTGTGTGTGTAGAATGTGATGTCTTTAAAGTCCCTGTGTGTGTATATATATGTAACCCCTCTCCCCCGGGTCCTCTCCGCCACACCTCGTTCTCGCTCTGAGTGGGTCTCGAACCCGGGTCTCCGGCATGGGAGGCGGACGCCGTTACATATATACACACACACACACACACATAACGCACAACACACACTGGAACTGTCCAAAACACAGATTCTACAACAATAGTCATAACCATCAAACATTTAAAATAAACAATGCAATCACTCAAAAAAATACCAGTGCAGGACACTTGCTTAAATTTGAAACATTTTACTTGGAAAGGCACAAACTATGATTTCCTGGTAAATAAACTTTGATGTGAGAAATAAAACAAGAACATATTTTTCTTCTTTTCCTTAAACGGTCCTTGAACAGATATCAGCCCTGTGCGGGATGTGCTCCCACATCAGTTTATATAGTCTGTCGGTTGTCTCGTCGTTTCATTTCAAGCCCACTTTGTTGTCTTCTTTTTTTCCAAAAGTGCAATAACAACAATGACAAGAGAATAATATCCATTTGTCTCTCCGTCCCCCACAGTACCTGAGGCCAGTAACTGTGCTACAGAGTCCACAATGACAGAAAAAAAATGGAAGAATTTTTTTTTTTTTTTTAAAGACAAAAGGACAAAAAGAAAGCATTTCCAGGACACTACAACTGCTTCACAACCCAAGGATTCCTTTAAATCAAAAAAACTAATCAAAAAATTAAATTACAGGGAAAAAAAAGACTCCAGAGTCTGGTTGAGATGAAATGTGTCCTGTTATTTTGTAATTTAGTTGGGGTCGTTCCCAGTGCAGAGGCGACTCCTGCCCTCACGTTTTTCATCACAAATAAGATCTATTTCTAAGAAAACTTAAATCATTTGTTCACTGATGTAACGTCCCCTGATCAACAAACAATAAACGTTTCAAACAACATCTTTTCACACACTGTGGTTTTATATCATCATTTAATTTCATATCATCATCTTTTCATCTTTTTGTGTTTATGTGCGATTATGTATCTTCATTATTCTCTTTTTTTTTTTTGCCTGTTAAAAAAAAAAAAAGTTTGTTTGGGCCTCTCATATTCAACCCATAAAAAAAGTCATTTTGTAGAACTTGTAACTGGAATCTTTGTGCTGAGGCAGTGTTATTATTGTTAATGAAAACTAAAAATCATTTTTCTTATACACTCATGTTCAAAGGTTTGGGATCGATATGGTTTTTAAAAAATTAATTAACATTTTTATTCATCTAAGGATTCATTACGTTTACCAAAAGTGAGAGTAAAGGGGTTTATAATGTCACAAAATATTTCAAATTCGAACAAATGCAGTTCTTTTGAATTTTGTATTCATCAAAGAATCTTGAAAAAAAAATTAATATCAGCTTCTACAAAAATATTTAGCAGTACAATGTTTTTTAGCGCCAAAATATAATTATAGAATAATTTCTGAAGAATAATGTGACACTGAGGACTGGAGTAATGGCTGCTGAAAATTCAGCTTTGCCAAAGGAATACATTTATATGATATTCAATGGGAAAAATAATTGTATTTATTTTAATGTTTCACAATATTACGGGGGGTTTTTTGATGAAAGACATGCAGCCTTGGTAAGCAGAATAAAAACTTTTCTTCAAAAACCTAAAAAATAAATATATCCCAAACTTTTGAATGTTAGTGTATCACAAAACTGAAAAATTGAAAATAAACCAAAACACATTTTCATGGTTCCAGAACTAATTTAAAATCTAAAAAAAAAATTCTTCTACTCTAAATAGATTTGGCAGTAAAACAAAAACAGATCAACTAGAAATCTTTGAAATAACTAAAACACAAACTAAACACAAAAACTAATTTGTAAAGACAAATTGAAAACAACAGAGAAGTAAAAACTAAATTATAAATTCAAAACTATAATAACCCTGTCCTTAAGATGATTACATTCAAAATTACATTCATAATTATCTTAAGATGTGAGATGAAAAACAGCAGATCTGTGTTTGGATCATGGGACATCATTCCAAAACCCAACACTAGGTGGCACATGTGTCTCATCAAGTGCCTTTCAAATGCACAACATAAGAGTTTCTCTTTTGAAATCTATCAGCATCCATTAGATCCTATCACACCGTAAGCTGCTCTCCAGCTAAAATGCTTGATGGCTTCTATTTAAAACACATGGTATCTCCAAGGAACGGCACTCTGTAGTGTGTTCAGAGCCTAAAGGAGCCTAGCTGAGCGTCACAGATGAATGAGTGTGCGAAAGACAGAGAAAAGCAGCCATGCTCACTCAAAAAGCAACACCACGAGCAAGCAGTACCTGCACTGAGCCCCCCAGCCTCTCGGCCGTGAGTTGCGACCCCAGAGTCTCCTTATTGGTCACTGGCGTGAGCTGGGACTCACTTCCTTTGGGCTCGGGAGACTGATCGACAGTGGAAGAAGCATTTTGGGCGGAGAAGCATGGAGGGTGGGCGGGGTGAGATGGATGGAGATTTTGAGGTATGATGGGAAGGGGCGGTGGGTGAGTAAACACAAACAAACGAAAAACAAAACATTAAAAAGAAGACATCTCACATGCAGAAGCTTGCTCAGTTACTAAGATAAAAGTTAGAAGTGAATGACACAAACTAACAGAAATAAAGAAAAAAAAACAGAGTGAGAAAAAATAAACAACAACCCAGCAAACATGCAGAATTAAGAAAGGCTGCTATTAGAAATCAAAGCAAGTTGTTTTTTTTGTTTGTTTTTTTTTACAAATAATGACATGAACACTACCATTATAACTTTTAATATTGTTTTTTAAAGACATGCAAGTACAAGCAGAAGGGCACATATATGTACAACAATCTTCCACCAGACTTTTAAGCTCATTTTATGCTCATGTAGCATGAAATGAATGCAGAGATACTCTGGGTTAAACTGGGATTTTTAATAAAACAAGCAAAATTGCAGCTATATGTTAGTGGATGTACATCAGTACACATTTGATATATTTTATTTAAAGATGTCACAGGAATGAAGGGATGAACCATAATGAAATCAGAATTTCCAGGGTGGCATTCTGTGCTGCACTGAAGAACACT